GCCCCTGCTTTATTTTAAGGTAGGTAAAAATATTGGGGGGCCATGGTAGCTCAGAGGGCAAGGGCGTCTAGCTCCTGACCGGAAGGTCCTGGGTTCAATCCTAGGTACAGGCAAGTAGCTGATGTAGCTTTCTCTAATTCCTTCCAGACAGCTCCCAGGTCCACTCAGCCTGCTTTCCAAATGAGTACCGGGGGTTAATCCTTCTGCGGGTAAGAGGCCAGCTGGAGTGTGATGCTGACCACCTCACCTCCATTTCCAATGTCAGATGGTCAAGGAAAATGGTGGCCCTTGCACCTCATTCCCCATGGGTCTTTATGGCCTGAAAAGGGACCTACCTACTGTACCTTAGATTATTGGGGCTCAGAGTGGAATTCAGCCAGGACATCTGGGCTGACACCCCAGTTATTTTGTAAAGTGCCATGCGGTTTTTAACAACCAGATAGTCAGGACCTGGGTTTTACATGCCATCCAAAGGACAGGAGCTCCTACAGCACAGTGTCACTTTGCACAATACAAGAACATGACTGCTGTTTGTTGTCGTAGTGAGGACCAGGAGCTGTGGCTTTGTTTTGTGGCGCACACGACAGGAAGAGAGAGTTCACTCTTGAGTTGCTAGAAAGAAGACCTTCATGTGCTTAAACAACAAGAGCACTGCTTTTGTCACAAGATGCTCTTCAGGCTTTTGAAAACCATGGAAGGCTGAGAACAGATGAATAAAATCACCTTTTTCTGAGACTTTATGGAGATCTTGTCTCTCGCACACCCACACCAGCATTTCTCCAGCTCCTCTCTGAAGTGCAGAAAAGATCTAATTTGCACACTAAAGCTTTTATATAGTTACACATTATGTCATTTCCAAGTACTTAATTTGTAATCTGGGTCCCCAGTGGAATTTCCTGTGCCAGTTGTGACACCTGGTTTTTCTTTTTTACTTATGGTGAAGTTTGTCTTGTGTTATGAGTTTGTAAACCAAAAAATGTATACGGTACAAACTATCGCTGCCATCTGGAGGCCAGATCTTGGTACTGTAGAACGTGAACCTCCTGTCCCAAGGTGACTTGCAGTGACAACCTCCTAATTCCACCCACCAGGGGTCTTCGGTTATTCTCACTGGATGCTCTTTTTTAAGTCACTGGGAGATCTTCAGGCGATTGCATGGTTCTTGCTGTGTATGCATTATTTCATTTGTCAGGCAATGAATACACTTTATTAGTTTGTGTGGTGGGATTCTGAAAGAATATTGATCTGCTCCAATTAAAAGTAGTCTTAAGTATTTGTTGGATGTGAGGACATCAGACGTGATTCTTATGTTCTGACCATCAAGTAACACAGTCGCTTGGGCCTGTCTTCAGAATTATGATTAACTTCACTTAGACTTACAGCTCGGCAAGGGGAAGTTTTCTTTTTACACAGACTGAGGAGATTTGTCAGTCTCAAAGCTAGAGTGGAGTTTCTCAGTGTTTGCGTGGAAAACTATCAGTGAACCGACACTACCGAGTTCCTTTCCCAAGACACGGGGTCACCCGCAGCCCCGAGACTCCTGAGGAGCCTGGGCATGACCATTGTGAGAACAACTGTTGTGAAACAAAGAGACTTCAGATGAGGAAGTGTTCACAGGCATTCCAGCCAGCTGTGGGCTCAACATGCAGTCCACAGGGGACGCAGACTGTGATCATGTGCTCTTTTTTAGTCTGTGTACATCTCTATACATCTGTGTGCATCTTTGTGTCTCTGGTAGGGGTGTACATTTGTGCTTGTGTGTTTTGTTTGTATACAGTATGTGAATGTCTGTGTGCTCAGTCTTGGTGTGTGTATGTGAAAATAGTAACCTTTTCTTGAATTGGATATTCCTGGAAATGTTCCATGTTGTAATTATCCCATGACAGAAAACTTTCTTTTCCCAGATTGGACATTTGGCAGACATACGGTATGTAGTTACAGTATAGTACCCCTGAGTAGCAGTCTGTCAGCCAACACACTGTGCTACTCTTTTGTCACGAGGAGCTCAATATTATTTTCCATGAAATACTCAGTGTCTGGTGTGCATATATCACTGTATTAAATTAACATGTATTTGATAACATACTGCAGTTGGTATAGCCCATTACAATTCTCATCTGCAAATTGTTTTTCTTGCCTCTCTTATGAAGTAATATGGAAGTAAAGGGAACCTGTGTACAGTTACGTCTTATTTGCAGAATAAGGAGAAAGACAATAAGAAAGAGCAGTAGACTCTCATGCCAGTCCTGTGTAAAGCCAGCAGACAAACTGAGTGGGAAAAAATAGCTTGGGATCAACTGACAGTGAGTACCTGTCACAGAGGAATGTATTATTCCATAAAACTGTGGTGGTTTTAACAGGCTGCTGTCTTCACTGGTGTGAATTAAATTTATTGATAAGGAATGTATTTCCTGATGTCAAGCTGTTTAATGTATTGTAGTGAAAGGCTCTGTATAGTTAGAAAATAATCTACAGAAGAGTTGTACAGTATAACTGTGAGGCTGCCTTTCTAGTAAAATGTCTTACTACAACTGTTTAAGGGGAGACGGATCACAGATGTTAAAGTATTCAGGAAGTCAGGCATCGTGGGGCTGAACAAGGAGGAAGAAAATGTGGGAAATATAGACAAACCATAGATTGGGGGTTTGGGGAGGAGGAGAGTCAAACAACCTCTTACTTACAAAGCATTTTTAGTATGGGTAGATTACCTGTTTAAGATTTGCTGAAAGGCTTTAGCTCACTCAACCGAAACCTGAATCAGAGTTCTACGCTGCGGGAAGTGTATAGGAGGTTTTCTGAAACCATGCAGGAAAAAATGAGCCTGGCTCCGACACTACAGTTTAAACAGGGAAGTGACTGTCTGTGAGTAGAGCCTTGGAAATACAGTTGTCAAATTATTCAAGGGGAGATTATCCCCAGAATGAGTGGTAAGACATCCCTCAGACATCAGTCCGAGCCACAGTTAATGGGTCCTGACAGCTGTTCCCCCAGAATTGGAAATAGACAATGAGTTAGAAAACAGGTACTGCCAGTGAAGATAGCATATACTGAAGTAATTGTGGTCAGGCTGTTGCAGGGATTTAAAAGCATCTGTCATAATGTACTCTAATAACTTTAAAGTATATTGTAACCAACCATTCAATGTAAATTAAAAAATTCTGTAGATCCACAAATTTTATGTATATCTGTTGTGCTGGCGATGATTCCTAAGATCTTTGACGTTGGTGTTGTGCCCTTTATTAGGTCTATTAGGTCTTTTAGGTTTCAACTCATATATGGGATAAGTGTGAGAGAATGCAGGCTTCATGAACATTATACTTAAACCTTAGGCTATTAATGTAACCTGAAATGGTTAAGGGATACATTATAAACTTAAATTGCTTAATTTGCAATAACCGATTTCTTAACCATAAGAAATCATTGCCTCTGAACAGTTTTCTGTGTATAAAGAACAATTTGTTATTCAGCAGTGTCTGGTGAAGTTCAACTATGTTGCAATCTTCTCGTTTCGCTGAAACTGTATTCGAGGTATGAAGTTATTAATGCTACAGTATATCCTGTTCTGACCTGCTTGCCCCTGTACATCCCTTGGGGTTTTCTGAAAGGCTCAGCATCGCTGTTATTTCCACACTTTAACAACTAAGCACTAGTACTGGACTCTGGCTCATACGGAATGCTGCTTAGTAAATATTTCTGATTGTCATGGTTTTGTAGTATGTTTTTAATGTTCCCTTTCACTTACACTCACCTGTGCTCAGCTGTACCTACAGTATGCTCAAATCTTTTTTCTTAAATATTGTTCTTACTATAGTTTACTGCCCTCTCAGCTTGAAGTCACCATTTGATTACTCAATTGGCTTGCCAGTATGGACCCTGCACCCTCACAGGACTGCGGATGGTCACCTCTGATGCTCACTTGTAAGCCATGTGCCAAGCCAGTGAGTCACAACGCTTCGAGAGACAGTTGGCACCGGTTGACTGTCAGGACTGCAAACTCATGGGCAGGTCCCAGAGGCGGCAGCTGTTGACTTTTCATTGGCTCAAGACCATCCAGCAGTTGGAGTCTGACCAGTCATGAGCTAGTGCCGAGAAAATCCCAGTCCCGTTCAGATGGTTCTGGGCTTAATGCAGTGCTGTCTTGAAGACTGGACTCGGATGTCACATCGGGTTCATGGGTGTGAATCTTTCTGCAGGGGAGCATTTGAAGTACAGAAACTGCCAAACAGTTTCTGTTTCAGGTGGTTCTTTCGGCTCCCCTTTTTCCTGTAAGGTCCCAGCAGATCTGACACTTCTGGAAAACTAGAGATGGGTTTCCCTGCAGCATACAAGTGGAACTGTTCTAATTTAATTAGAAAATAAGACACTGAGATGTAGAGAACTGTACAGGATTGATTTGTCTATGTGGACATAAGAGCTTTATAAGACCTGGCTTTCTATGTTAAGTTCTTTGGACATGGCCGTACAGGGAATAAGAGTCCACATTTTGTTTCCTGTGATAATGAGGTTAAATGAAGTTTTCTTGGTTAAAAGCGCACCCCTTGCTAGCAGCTGAAACCCATGCTTAAGGTTTTGTTTCTTTGTTTCAATTTTTTTTAAATAGCTTCACTTCCATGTTTGATTTAAAGCAATCTGCTCAAGTTGGTTTGCTTTGTGTTTCAAAACGCACAAACTGAACATTTGGAAAGAGCTTTAAAAGCGTTTGAGAAGTCGAGATGCAAAATGAAAGCTGGGCCCTTTAAGCCTTCTTTCTCCTTTTTGAGAATGAAACCTTTCTCTTTGGTCAAGCTGTAGCTCTGCACATTTGTCATCAGTGATTGGCAAGGGGAATGGGTAACTGTAAAGCAAACTTTTCCAGCCAGTGCATAAACACCAGAGTGCAGCAGCCAGTCACACAGCATGCCCTTATCTACCAATGGAATGCAACAGCTGCGTGGGGGGCCCTGAGGGTGGGCCTGCCGGAACCCCCCTGTCAGACCCCCGCCCTCCCTCCACAGGCTTCTGAAATGCTGCTCAACTAAAAAGTGTGAGAGCCAGAGAGAGGGACTTGGCTTGGCTACACACTTAAAACACAGAGAACAAGAGAGGGAGAGAGGGGGAAAGAGAGAGAGAGGGAGTGGGAGAGAGTGTTCTGAAAGGCAGGAATAAAAAGGAAGAAAGTGAAGTAGGGGGGGTTGAGTTGGAAGGGAAAGAAAGAGAGCAAGAATAAGGAGGAAAACAAAAGAAAAAGGGGGCTACCAAATGGCTACAGAGGAGACTGCCGGGGGAGCCCGCAAAGCTACGAAAAGCAAACTGTTTGAGTTCCTCGTCCACGGTGTGGTGAGTAGGTGCTGGCTGGCTGGGGTAAGAGCTGGGTTGCTCTGTGTGTGCAAAGCTTGGCAGTCTGCATGCGTGAGATAGCTGGGAAAGCCGTGTGAAGGTTATTTCCAGCCTTGAGTCGCGTACCGTTTCTTTTTAAAGAAGAGAGGGGAGGGAGGGAGCTGTGGGGAAGCAGGGGAGGTGGGTTTTGTAGTCATTAAAAAGAGAAAGAGACGCTGCTCCTTGGTCGCTTCCAGAAGAGCATGTGGAGTGCCTACTGCGACTGGCCTCCACAACTTGAGTTCTGCTGCTGCACGCAGCACACCTGGACAACTGGGGAGCCCCCCTCAACCTTTTAACCAGTTTAGATGAGACCAGTTCAAGCCCCCTTAATGGTTCAGTCTGGGAAGTGCAGAGGAAGGTTTATTGCCTTGAGAGGCTTATCAGAGCAACAAAAGTGGGCACAAAAGCCTTGTGCTTTGTAAAGAGTAGGAAAGTTTAGGAACAATACAAGTGGAATGCTGGAACAAATGGACGTCAGCTCTTAAGATCTGGCAGTCTGGCATATTGTCTTTTTGTTTGTTTTTAAGAGAAAAAATAATAAACTGCGTGGGAGAAGGTCAGTATACAATATGCTGTAGTGTGCTACTGTATGCATACTGTGTCAGGATTCAGGAGCCGTGTCTTCTAAGAAAACATGCCTAGTATGTTCCAGATTGCCTGACAGATTTTGTACAAGATGAAAACTCTTTTGCTACAGTAAGAGGAACCTGCTTAGTGCAAACACTCATCCAGCAAGCCCAGCAAACAATGTTGAGCACACATTGACTTTATTTGTGGGCCACCTTGGTGCTTGTCTTAATTAATTATGATAAACAAAGTCTTGCAAAAATAAACGTTGGTTTCCACCATGCTGGACCTGAAGAGCAGGGCATCCCTGGAGCCAAAAAGATTTAGAGAAACTCTGAGTTTCTTACACTCAGATGTCTCCTGAATAACAAATCTGTTCTGCTGCAATAGAAGCAAATGAAATACAAACCGTCTGGCTGTCTGGTTAGAAGAATTTAGAGACAAATTAGAAATTAGAGGTGTATGTCTACAACTTGCTATTGGTTTCTGATGCAGTTCTTTGTTTGTTCTTCTTAGATTGTTCTGTGCTGTCATAAATATTTCATTACAAACAGGGTAACACCTGAAAGAGAAAATGAGGAGAGGAGGTACAGCATGTTAGGCTTACCCTAGATATAGACCACCTCATAGAGTTCTCAGCTTCGTGTGACACTAATCAGCCGCCTCTGTGCATATTCCCTGACACTGTAGTTTGAGAAGTCTCTTCAGATGCTATTTTTGCAAGAATAAGTAGTCAGTATGACACATGGTGTGTAACTTTTACTTTTTTATTTTGGAATCTCCAATTATTTTCTTATTTATATTCTCCTATGTGAAATTGACAGAAACCAATATCCATTGCCCTGGTTCAGCAGATTTTGGCAGGTACATTGGTTTCATTGAGGAGAAAGTAAGTGGATGCTTTTGACATCCAAGTGACAAACCTGGAGACCCTTGTCAGGATCTTGCCATCCCACTGTTTCAGGTTGTAATGCGTAATCTGAAACACCACATGTAAATCACACGGGAGATGATTAGTCGTCTCTGTGCCATTCTCAATTTGTGTTCTATCTCATTGATGCTGAGCCTTGGCAATACCAGTCACTCTGAAAAGATCAGGTTAGTTTTTTGCCGATGTAGGTCGTTTAACTCAGGCATTAGCCTTCTAATCAATGTCACCCGCTGCTTCTCTGGAAAAACCTGTTTTGAGTTTGAGAAAAGCTTTTTTGGGATATAATGTTAACTATTTTCAGTATGGTTGGGGATCAGTTTGCTAGTTCGGCGTGGTTAGCTAAATTGCTTGTTTAGAAATGGTTACATAAATGACACGTCACTAAGGGCAAGGAAGGTCAGTGCCTTTCCTTCAGCTTTCTCCATGGCATGCTTTCAGCCAGTATGCATGAGTAAATAGGACCTGTGCACTAAAATGAGTGAAGTCAGGTGAACCACTAACGGCATTGATGCCCCGTTCTTCTTTCTCACCTTTCACTGAATCTATATGTTTGGAAAACGCTTGTGCGACTCGATGGTAAGGAAAGACAGATCACATCGCTGCTTCTTGTCTTTTCATTGTGCTATAAAAGAATAGACAAAGTTTTGCCTGTGGAGCCCTCTTCAGGTTACAGCATTCCTTTTCCTTTCAGCACAGAATAAACCTTTACCTATTCCTTTGCAGCCTACGCATGCTATTCATAGTTGAGCTATCCATATTTTGCTTTGTCTACATTGACACACAAGTTGTTTATTTTAAAGTGTGACAGGGTCAATAGTGGGACTGCGTGTCACAAACAGCACGGAGGCACGCAGACATCGTTGCATTCCCATGCGCACCCGATCACTCACTAATAAACTTCAATCACCTTGTCTATTTAAACTTCCACTTTGCAACTGTGGAACATGCAGCTGTGGCCCCTCCAGTGGGTGTGATAGTGGCAGCCTGCCACATAGTTACAAATATTACGAGTTGGTCATCTTGTGTGTGGCACCATGTACATTCAGTTGACCTTGTGAACTTCAAAGATGAAACTTTTGAATCCAGACCCCTGTATTCATAACTTTTATCTTCGTTAAATTAAGCAAATCAAAGAAAAGACGAAAGTTAAAAAAACCAAAAAACCAAACCAAACCAAAATAAAATCTCTTCTCTGTTCTGTACATCATCATTGCCATCTCTGCCAACCACATGAAGACTAACTATCCTAAATGTCTTGGGAAATACAAAGTCAGGATTTCAATAACCAAGTCAGCCTGTGATATCCCTGACATTATCCCCAACAATGCAAAATCTAGAACTCAGGTTTTATTAAGAGTCATAATAACTGTTAGTGGAGTGATGTTTTTATCATATTCTTCTATGTTTACAGTAACTGTAGCATGAAAACTAAAACTTCCATGGAGAACAATCTAGTTGTTCTTTGTTAAAATGTTCTTCTGCAAGAGTTCATCAGTGGTTCATGAAGGATTAGTTAAGAATTCGAACACAGCTGTGTAAGCCATTAAGTATGGGATTTTCCTCTTGTGGAGGATCTTCTTTGTATTTATGAAAGGTCTCTTTGCAGTTGAGGTTTCTTTGGAAAGGTCCAAAATAAACAGCGTTCTGCATTGCTCCCTGTTGATAAACTTGGCCTCTCTCCTGGCTTTTCATACTTGCTCTCGTCTCTGAAAACTAAGAAACATTATAGTAGATTGAGGGTGTTCCCCTTGTTGTGGCCTTGGCTAGGTAGTGCTATGTGCTTGTTGTGTGGTCAAGTTGGCGTTGCTCTCTAGATTTTCCTTGTGCCAGACATAGAAGGCATATGTTTTTTGGTCTGGAGTGTTCCTCCAAATCTATGATCCTTTGCTTAGTCTGTGTGAGTTTTTTGATGCATGTCTTTGACAATTTAGTTATGTGTGTGTTTGTCTTCAACTTTCAATTTTCAGCTTATGTCAGCCATTTATGTTTTGATGACCCAACACGTCAGATGTGATGTTGGTCCGGCTGTAGGAAGCAGTAGTTAGTTCAGAGAAGTTATCTTAGTCATAGGTTGTGTGTTACTAAGATGTTCATGCTCATTTGAGGAGGGCATAGTGGCACAGTGGTTAGCATTAGTGCCTGACAGTGCTGGGCTGCTATCTGTTGGAGGTTTGTACTATATGTCCTCCCCATGTTCACGTGGGTTTCTTCCTCATGCTCTGGTCTCCTCCCATAGCCTAAAGACATACCGTAGTAGTAGGTTAATTGACTTCTGGGAAAACTGGGTTTAGTTTAAAGTTTAAGTGTGTGTGTCTGTGTGTACCCTGTGATGTACTGCTGTCCTGTCCAGGGTGTATCCCGCCCTGCTCCTGTTGCTTGCTGAGATAGACTCCGGCTGCTCCGCGACCCTGTATTGGATGAAGCAGTTAGAAAATGGATGCAAGGATGGATGTTGGGCCTCAAAATCTGCACCTCAGCTGCACTCAAACTTTTTTCAGCTTTAGATTTTCTTTTTTTCTTGAGGCACTGAAAGCTTTTTTAGCCAGTTTTGACTTTTTTAGGCATAAAATAAATTCTCTACTTTATTGTCTTTAGTGTTTTCCATCCAGCCATTCCCAAAACGCAGCTTAATTCCTGGTAAGGGTACCTGATTTCGTTATTATTTTTGAATCACAACTACATACAGTAGGATAAGTCATTAAAAGTATAAACTGGAGGGAGGGAGACATTTCCCAGATGTCTTACTTCTGATGTTCGATCAGGTGACATCTTTTTGTCTCTCTGTCTAAACTCAGGTTTATGTCACATCCATTACGCACACTGTAAGAAGCTGCCACTTTGTTAAGGACATTGTAAAGTGCTGCCATTTTAAGATACATTGTCTTGACGTGGAGATACTGCAGCCACAAGACCAAGCAGAAACCAGAGCAAACACAAACATCAGTGTCTGGTAGCATGCATGTGCAATGGGTAGATAATTGTATCATTGGCTTAGAAGTACTGTAGGAAATTTGTACCATTCCTCTGATTTGGAAAGGAGTTTTTAATGTGACTTTGCCCAGTAAAATCAAATCAGCATCTATGATGTTTAGGCATATCATTGATTTTTGCCATATTACTGTTTACTGTTTGTCTGTAATGATTCTTTTAAAAATGATACCTTTTTAATCAACATAATGAACTGTTGTGAAATTGTCAGGCTTTTAAATTAGCACAGCACTTTTACTGGTCTTCATTTACTATCCACTTATTGCTTTTTACTTTTTACACATCTGTACCATAATAAGAAGTGCTTTCATTTCAGCAGCACTTTTCTTTATTGAGAAGGATCCTGATTTTTTCCTCCATTCTGAATTAAGGCACCCACCTGGGTGATTCTTAACTGTCATTTAGTGCCAACAACTCAGTGCACAACAGTTCAGATGGAGAAGTGAGGCAGTTGATTCACTGTTTGAAATAA